TAACGTTAGTGAACTACAGCACCGACTAACTGCCTGGTGGGCGCGTTCTGTTTAACTGCAACTCCAAAGAGTTCCACTGTTCAGATTTATGTTCTAATCCAGTTTGCCAATTCTTCTATGCACCCTGCTCACCCTGTAATTCGCAGATAAAATAGGGACCGCTCTGCAAGCTGTGGCTACTTGCTCACTTGAATCTTCGAGCGTTAAGCCAGGGCGGCCAATCACGCGCATCTGGACCTCGTGCTCTTCTTGCCGCCCGCAGGTAACCTTATAGCACAGAAACGTTCACAGTGCGTCCACCCGGGCGAATGCTTTCTTTTTGTAACAAAGGGCTGTCCTATCAGAACTGGACATAGCCGGCCAAAAGAATGCAATCCCATTTTGTCAGCTTCCTCAAGATGTTTCGTTATCAACCATCAACCGAATTGTAAGAAAACCTACCTTGGGCCAACCGTTGCAAGATCAAAATGGGGTCCAGCGTGGCTTCAAGCTGCACTGTTGACCGAAATAGCATCACTCCCAAGTCTTGTAAATACTGTCATTTAGTTGTCACTGTCAGCCTCCCAGGAAAACATTTTCCGGTTAGTTACGGTACCATACAGGTCGAAAGTTCGAGCTTCAAGAGTTGCAAAACATGGGGTTAGATATAAATGGCTAATGATGAATAATAAGCCAGAAATGGTCATTCCAGTCTCTCTCCCCCGAAGTCTCCCTTGTGCTTGCCGGTCATGTTCATCAGCCTAGAATACTAGCCGCTTTGTGGCTGCTAGCGGGGCTCCAGAGTGAGCCTCAAGGCTGAACGAAACGAGTTATTCTCCAACCGATCGGTGATCGCCTATTCACTTAAGTGCACAATTCGCTGTTCCATATCCAACCTATGCTCACACACTGTCTACCTGGCGTGTTGCCGATGCATGTGCGGCGACGCCCCCCTTTGCGGCTGTACGTCCCATTTGCCGGCCACCCACCGCTGAGGACGCATTCCCCGCGGTCTCACACGGATTTTTTCATCAATGGTTAGCTCAGACAGCTATCTTCTCTGTTAACCGTCCAGGCACTGGAATTTTCACTCTTAACCTTCCTGCTCCGAGCTCATCGTGCCTGCTTTTTTAAAACAAGGATATTTGTACACTCACAAGTATTCCTCGTAGGTTGTTTCCGATGCCAGTTTGTTTCGCGCTCACCCACTCGATGACATCGCTTAATGGCATCCACCGCCGGCCAAGTAATCAGCTGATTTGTGTTCGAGCCAAGTCGCCTGCCCCCCCCCTGCCGTGAGACCTACTTGTAAGGCCTAAAGCAATCAGCTGGATTCCCAAACCTCCTTTCTAGTCTGCGTGCTCATTTGGTAGTAGTTTTAAAATCAAAACCTAGACCTGTCTGACTTAAGCAGCAGTCTTCAACGAGCCCCTTGGTGTGCAATCTACCCTTGACGTATGAATTTGCTCTTAAAGTAAAACATCGCACAGGACGAAAATAACGTGCAAACTCTAGAGTTGCTTGGATGGCAATCCCATAATTTACTACCAGAGTGTGGACAAAAGTGTGTAACACGCAGTTAGATCGCAGTTTTGCAGCCTGGTAGGGGGCCGAGGGCAAATAAGGTCACCACTGACCCTGTCATGCGAAAGGAAGAGTCAAGTGATCGCGTGATTTCCTTTTCTGTCTAGGGCCAGCTTTAACAAACTTAAAGATATGGGACGAGTGCCCTTTGCATTTTCGGAATAAATCACCTACGGAGCAAAGAATAACAATTCTGAGAGCTATCAATGAAAGAGGTAGTAATAGCTATTTAATTTAGTGCAAATATAATCGTGTGCACAGTGAAGAGACCACTTGGAGGTCACTCATCTGCGCTGGCCCGCCGGTCTAGTGGTTTCGAAGCCTAAATTCTGCACACCCAATCAAAACGTAAAGAGGTGAGCAACAAAAAAGGAGAAATGGAGGCAAAAGACGGGAAGTAGACTATGCGCAATAGCACTGCCCAAGAGCAGAAGTTCACTTTACCACAGTCCAACTTCGCTCAGTCCAGACCGAAAGGATGTACAAGGCCACGAACAATAACATACATGCAGATACGCGAAAAAAGATCAAGGTTAGGAAAGGCAATACATCTCAATGATCTGCTCAGGAGCTTCGCTGTATATTTGTGATGGGTGTGTCAAAGGTTCTGAGAGTTTCACGGCCTCTCTCTCACCGTTTGGCAGAACGGCTGCTGCCGGAGTTCGAATGTGGAGCAGCTGGCGGCGGTGAAGGGACATGCATGGCTTCCCATCCGGGAGGCAGTGGGCTATTTCTATTGGAGAAAGCACGCTGCACTGTGGGCAAAAGCGGAAGGCCACCCTTAGGGGGAATTAAGCCGGGTGGTGGTGGAGGGGGCGGCGGAGGCATGAAGGGAACCCCTGGGGCTCCTGCTGCGAAGGGTGGCATTCCAGGCAGTGAGGGCGGGGGTGGAAGGAAGGGTGGCGTACTTCGGGACCCTGCTGTTTGCTTCAAAGGCATTTGAGGAGTACTGTTTGCAAATTGACGCGAAGAGGGTCGGCTATCCGGCTTTTTGGCGCCACCAGGCGGAACAAGAGGTGGCTGCAAAAGAGGCATCGCCATCGGCGGTCCTCGCGAAATCAGTTGCTGTAGCGTCCGTTTTTCGCCATCTCCGATCTTTTGGCGCAGGGCAGTGTTCTCATCACGTAGTTCTTTCACCAGGTTCTCTGAGGCCCTAGCGGCCAGCCAGTTTTCGTGTAGACGCTTGTCAAGTTGCGTAATCTGACGACGGCTGGCTCGCTCATTTTCTACCAACTCATGGCGTGCAGAGGTGACCTGTTCACGCAGAGCCTTCACCTCCACATCGAGGGATTTGGCTCGCTGACGAAGGTAATTCAGCTCATCGTTAGTCTCGGACTCTGAGAGGGCTTGACGACCTAAATCACGCTGCATCACCACTTCACGCTCCTTAAAGTAATCTGACAGGATTTCCAACTTTTTCTGAGCCGCCGACCTGTCGTCTTCCGCCTGGCTACACTTTTGCTGAAGGGTGACATTCGACTCCTCCAGAGCAGCCAACTTTTCTTGCAGTTGGCTGCGCAACTCAGTCTCCTGTTTGCACCGATCCATTTCTGCTTTCAGTTGATCGCCCATAGCAGACAGGTCTGCTCTCAATTTGCCAACATCAAGAAAGTTGGCCAAAACCTGCTGTAATTGTTCGCTCTGGCCCTCCCGAGTTTCATGCTCCCCACTTTCTTGACTGTTTGTTCGCTCGGGAACGGCAAGCTGATTATCAATGTCAACCTCATTGGCCAATTCGTCCACCTCGGCGCCCCAATCGCTACCGTCAGCAGCATCTTGGTCCGAACTACCACTGGAGGTAGCCAACATTGGTCTGGCTCCGTCCTCTTTTGAGGCATTCCGTGAAGCAGCAACACCAGGCGAGGCCGCGTCCGCATTCGTTTGCGAAAGGCTTAGTTCGAAACTCTTAAGCTGAATGAACATGTCACGGAGACCAGCCAGTTCTCTATCCCGTGTTACCAGTTCCTCCTCCAACTTCTGACTAGAGGCTGTCAGGTTCTTCATCGCCGTTTCCATTTCATCAATCCTCTCCCGATGAGTGTTCAAGCGGGCTAGTAGTTCCG